CCGAGATTTGCTTTCTTTATTCTAAGCCTAAGTGGGAGGTTCTACCACCCTTTGTTTCTTTGCTAGAGCTTCTCAAATATTGTAAATCGTGATTCTTTGACACTGACCTTGTTTTTCTTAAAATCTGGAGCTGACGGAAACTTTATGCTTACGTCAAAAATAGCGTTAACATTAGCTGCATCAAATTTGTTTCTATTTTTGTTGGCATGTGTAATAACTATTGTTAAATAGCCAATACCCGCATGTTTGCGGCGCCTTCAAACACCTTTCGAACTGTAAAACAATGACTCAATCTATTTTACGCATATCTATAATACGGGTAGCGAATTTCAAGCAAATAATACCATAAATAAGAATTTTTGGAATAGATCGGTCCCTTGTGCAACTATCAGAAAAAGAGTATCCAATATTTTAACCCTGACAATAAGCTACCTACGTGCCAAGTTTCAAGCAAATCGCACCATAAATAAGATTTTTTCCAATAGATCGGTATCTGGTCCACCTATTAGAAAAAGTATCCTATATTTTAACCCAGACCATACGCTACCTACATACGTGCCAAATTTCAAGCAAAGCGGACCATAAATAAGACTTTTTCGAATAGATCGGTCCCTGGCCCACTTAACGGGAAAAATGGATCCTATATGCCAATTTAGGCAAAAGGCTACCTACGTACCAAATGCATTAGCGTAGCTCGACCCCTGCAGCACGTATCGGAAAAATTAAAACTTTGTGCATTCCTTCTAAACACCTTTCCAAAATAGCAGCAACCATTCGAATCGGTTATGAAACATATTTAGGAGAAAATTGTTCCCAATTGATTCATGTTCGCAATGAATATCACAATTACCCGAAATTTTCCAAGCTTCATAACGAATTTTCCATCTTAACATTGTCCAAAATCATCAAATCATGCGATAAAATACAAAATTTCGTCGAAAAAATTCAAATATTTCTCGTTCTTCTGGATTTTTCCGACTTTTCCAGAATTTTCTATTTTACCATTCGAAAGCCATCCCGAACTAATTGCACAAAAAATTCCATAAAAAAAAATCAATTTTCGATTTTTCCAATTTCCGGACTTTCCCGGAAAGTTTTCCCAAACTTTTGTATCGTAAAAACCTTCCTCTGGAAATTGCGAACAACTAAAAGAAAAATTTTTCCAAATCGGCCCAACCGTTCTCAATTGATGAGTTACTATACATTTTTCACACCATTTTTATATATATAGATATATGTATTTAATACATACATACATTCTAGCCACTACTAATCACATGAATAAAAATCTTAAAAACGAATGTGACTGCAATATTTCTTGTTTAAAATGTTTTAGATCCATCGCACACCACGGACTTTATCGGCCGCCGATTTAGTTGCATTGCACCACAACTAATTGGTCGGAGCGATTAAGTTGGTGTAGTGTGCGCACCTCCATACATCTTCATGTACATATTTCAAGCGAGCCCTACTATTTAAATAGGCGGCCGATAAATTTTGTGGTATCAGGTGGCTCCTATAGCTGCATTATTACATCTATTCCGTGTGTTGCAATATCCACGGAAGCAGCAGTTATCAAGAAAATGATTTAAAAATATTAGACAAATTCTCTACTTATATGTTTGGCTTTCCTTTGTTTTATTTTTCCAACGTCAAAAGCTGGACTTTTTTTTGAAAAGTTGGTACAACAAAAGATACGAAACACGTTTTCTCTCAGATAGCTAACATGGCGGATAAGAAGAAGTGAAACTACATACCCGGAAAAAAAGAATCGTATATGCTAATCTACCAAATTTTAAGCAAATCGGACCATAACTACGATTTTTTCGAATAGATCGGTCCCTGGTCCACTTCCCGGGGAAAAAATATCCTATATGCTAATCTGGGCAAAAACCTACCTACGCACCAAATTTTAAGCAAATCGGACGATAAATACGATTTTTTCGAATAGATCGGTCCCTGGTCCACTTCCCGGAAAAAAGCATCCTATGTGCTAATCTAGGCAAAAAGCTACCTAGGTACCAAATTTTAAGCAAATCGGACCATGAATACGATTTTTTCGAATAGATCAGTCCCTGGTCCACCGGAGGAAAAAAAATTTAGCCGAATCGGCCCAACCGTTCTCAATTGATGAATTACTATACATTTTTCGCACCATTTTTATATATATAGATTATTTTTTTATTTGGTAATTTTTTTTAAATACATATTATTTTTTTATTTAATTTTTCTCAAATGAATTTATTTCATTCTATTTACCTTTTTCCTTTTTTCGCGTGCGTTTCATTTTAATTCAACTGCAGCTTTTCATCAAATGTCAGCAACACGCGTTCCTGCTTATTGGTGGGTGATAAAAACTATTCCATTGTGCAAAGCTATCGGTTCGTGTGCGTATGAGCATGAGGGAAATTCTCAAAAACTGCAACATATTGATCTAGCAGATTGAAAGACATTTCTGTTTAATTTTACCTGTAATTTGACAGTGTAGTTCTGGAGCAGTGACACCTCTACGTTCAGTGAATGAAGGTTTGTTGTATATTTGTATGTGACATTGAGTTTCATAATACATATATATGTTTATACTTCTGAATTTGGTAAATTAAATTTTGGCTAAGACGTATACGATTTAAGTAGTTATGTTAATTCACTAAATACATACGATTTACATTTAAAACATTTTCTAGATGCAAGAAGAATAAATAGTTATTTACAAGTTTCCGTAGTCTAAGTAGCCTTAACTAACGTTTCTTCACTCAGTGAAAATCTGTGATTTGAAAATCTGGCAGTGGGACTACTTATGCCCTTCCTCCTCTTCTTTAGTTAAGATAGGTAGTGTGCCCAGGGGACCTATCTCGATAGCCAGTTCGAAAACGCCCTATCCCATAAATCTTTTCAAAAACTCCCTATTTCAGTATTCGGTTCAAAAACGCACAATCTCAGCTGCCGATTCAAAAACTCGCAATCTCAGCATATTTTCAGTTGAGATGGGCGAAAATCTTTGAAATGGGCAATAACCACGCCCACCTACCATATAAAGGTAATTTCCAGAAACACTAAAATGCCATAAATCAGTAACCACTGAAGCTAATCCACTCAAAATCGATTATTGCACCACCCACCACTTATGACCACAAATGTGTTTCTCGGTAACCGATTTATCAATTTCTACCAAACCCGGTGCACTCGATAACTTTGGTACGGAAAAGCAATTCGTTGAAAATGATTCAAATCGGACTAAAATAACACCCGCTTCCCGTATAACGGTAGATTTCAGACATACGAAAACTCCGATATTTCTGACAATTAAGGACGCTACTTTACTCCAAGTTAGAAGTTACAACAATCTCTTAACAATAAATAAGACTACTGTAGACTTTTAGGAATAGGGCGTGGCACCGCCCACTTTATGATTACAAGGTGTATCGCGGCAACCATTTTATCGATTCCTATCAAACTTGGCTCAATTATATCATTAAGTCTAGCTCAACATTTTATCGAAAACGTTTGAAATCGGGAAAAACACCTCTGATTACCATGTAAAGGTTATTTAGAGAAAACAGAAACGGCGATATTTGATTCCTGCACCGGGTATATAAAGTGCGGTTTCGACCGAACTTATACTTATTAACTTGTTATTAAATTTATTTTTATAATATTCATAATATATATGTAAATAAAAAGTAATACCTTGTCAAATTAAGTTCTAATTTGGTCTCTGTTGAAAAAATTCAAATAAAATAAAGTAAAAAATTATTTATTTACTTCTATGACTTATTATTTATTACTATGACTTCTGCAAAATTTTTTAAAATATGTTTCGAATAAAGCTTTTTTAAACTTCTCTTGCTTGACACCCATGCTCAAGTGTCTCATTTAACTTGTTATTAAATTTGATTTTGAATCTATAAACAGGTGGAAACCCTCTTTAAACATCTTTTAAAAGATTAAGTTTTCTAAACCCTCTGGTTTGACACCCATATTAAAATAATTTATCAACTTGTTAATTAAATTCATTTTGAAGTTTTAAACAAGCGGTAACCCTCCTCAAAAGTTTTTTCGAACTAAAGCTATCTTAAGGATCTCTCGTTAGAAACCAATATTCAAGTATTTCATTTGACTTGTTAATTAAATGGGTATTGAATTTTTAAACACATGAAAGCTCTATTAAAAATTATTATTTTAAGTCAGATTCTTAATCAGCTCCCGTTAAAAAACCCTATGGAGATATTTTCATGTCCATTAACTAAGTGTAACACCCATGCATGATATATATATGCATGCATGTGTACACAAACAAGTAAATGTTAAATTGCCAATACTTCTTTTTCAATTCAAAATAATTCAATAAAAACCATATGCCATTATTAACTATCACCTACTCATTATTTGCAAAGTTACACTAAATATATCCTGCATTTCTTTACCGCTAGGTAATTAATAATATAAAAATAGATTGGTGCTCACATAATGTGTTAGTGTTTGGCCGAGATTCTCCTGCGTCGTGCGCCTTAATGTTGTCACACTAAAGGGAGGGAAACTGCAGTTTTACGCCGACGCCGAACGGCGATTGTATTTTTCGTGGCAGAATATACGCGGAGGTTTGCCACTGCCTGGCGATGGGCGACCGCTATTAGAAATTACTTTTTTGTTTTTTTATTTTTATTTTTTTGGACTTAAATCCAGGCCCTGCGTAATGGTAGCGCGCACTGCTAACCACTACGCCACAGCGACCGCTACTTCATTAAATACATACAAAATGTGACAAATCCCAAATGCCCCATAGTTCGTTAATTATTCCGGACAACAGCCAATCCATTTGTACTTGTATTCCCCATTGATTGACATTGTGTTTTTAAGAATCCTAAGTAGCTTCTGTTTTCCATAAAAGAAGTTAATTTAAGAATTTCAAACATATTCTCAACGCTCAAGCCGTGCATAGTAGACTTCATTACAAATTTACTTCTAGAAATGCATTCAGTATGCAATTCAACTACTACAAAATGCCACTTCTAGTGCTCTATTTGATCTGTTGCGATTCGCCGCGGTTGGTGCACTTATGGGATGTAGAATATAATCGGAATTTTCTCTGCAAAGTGGGCAAGCTGGGTCAAGTGCAAGAACTGATTTGGTACGTGAGCGAGCGAATGAATACCGCGAATAGTGCAGGCGTGCAGGAGCTCTTTATATCACTACGCGCGTGTCTCGGCGTAACGCAGACAATTTTGTCTAATCGCACGGATGTACGCTTTATACAAACGGAAAATAGGAAAAATTCGCTCAGTGTCGTTTTCGCTACTTCACCGGAAGATCCCATATTGTACGTGCACGCGCTAACTTTGCTTGGGCGTCGGATGTATTTTGGACTAGTGATTATGATGAATGCGGTGGATAGTTTCGGCGTGGTGGAGCAACTCTTGCTAGGCTTGCGTAGCCGTAATTTGCAAAGTACTTTGCTATATTATTACACCACAAACCAGACAAATGAAATTTTTGGCAATACTATTTATCCGGAGTTGAAGTTCGTAAATCGGTCTGACTATTATGAATACCTGCAACGAAGTTTGAGTACGATCGTGACAGGTCATATAAACTTGGAAGGTTATAAATTGTACACACCATTACGGCAGGATTTACCGCATGTCTTCAGCTACTTAAATGCAAGCGCGCATGTCAACTGGCGCGGCTCAGCCTATAACTTGTTAAGAGAATTTACGGCCTACTGCAACGCTACGTTAGTTAACTACGCCATGTCCAAGGATAGGCTGGGAGGCGACGTTATCGATATGAAGGCAGCGCTTGATTTGATACGAAGTGGCAAAATCGATTTAATCGCACACGCTTATGCATTATTCAAGTCGGATGATGAACTCAGCGCGAGCTATCCACTTATGGTGGTGCGTTGGTGTCTCATGGTGCCCATTTGGAATAGCGTTACAACAATGTTCTATCCCTTGGAACCATTTGACGAATTGACTTGGCTTGGTATCCTTTGCGTTTTCGGCGTACTAGTAGTCGTTAAGTACTTGTGGTGTTTTTTACTGGGTTCACATCAATTCGCACCAAGCATTAGACATAACATTTTATGGAGCTTCTGCCAGAGTATTGGCGTTTCTACGCCCCAGCCGCATGGCGCACCATCCGTAGTGGATTTCTTTTTTTGCACTACAATATTCTTCTACGGTTTCTTTCTCACAGCGAACTACACTTCACTACTGGGCAGTATCTTTACAGTGACTTTATTTCGCGCACAAATCAACACAATGGATGATATCATAAGGTTGAACCTTTCAGTGATGATTATCGATTATGAATTGGAATTTTTACGCTCCAGCGGGGAGGAGTTGCCTGAGAATTTTACACGTTTAATCCTACCAGTAGATCCGGCCACTTTTAGTAAGCATCAAGTGCAGCTAAATTCAAGTTTCGCTTATTTTGTAACCGAAGAAAAGTGGCACTTTTTGAAATTACAACAGAAATATCTCAAGCAAGGCCTATTCAAGTTCACCGATATTTGTTTCGGTTCCTATCATTTGACCTATCCAATGCAAGCGGATTCGTTCTTGTATCGAAATCTCGAGTACTATATTTATCGCATGCATTCTTCGGGCATGTTGAGCCATTACGAGAGCACAGACTTCGATTACGCCGTGGAGGCGGGGCTCGTGAAACGCTTCGCCGATACTACGGAGTATACTTCGGCTGGTATGCAGCACTTGGTTGTTGTTTTTTACATGTTGCTGGTTATGTATTGGATAAGCCTTCTTGTTTTTGTAGCAGAACTGGTAGTTTATCGAATATCTAAAAATCACAATTCGTAAATAATTTCATCGCAATTGGGGAATTTTAACCAAGTGCGTTTTCAAGTTTAACGAAATATCCATCCACCGGTTATGTGAAGTGTTGAAATGTATTCACGTATGTATTTGATTTAATGAATAAATGTGAAGATATTTGTTAAATGATTAGTTCATGTTTGTGAAGATTATGAGCGCAACAGCACTTGTTTGCCTGAGTGTTTTTTAGAATAAGCGGTTAAAATTTCACTAGGAATAATTTTTAGAACATTTTAACTCATTGGCTCCCTACGAAAGGATCGTTTCGATTCGTTTTATACGTTTTCCGTATAAACATTTCGTCTAAGAATACCCTCAGGGAAATTTTCTAGAACATTTTAAATGTCTAGCGACCTCTCAAATGCCATTTTATTAAAACTTTGCAAAACACGACTCGTCCGTCCCAGACATTGAAAATGTTGCACAGTGTAATAAAACACGGAATAGATTAGTTTCATGAAAAGAAATCAATTTAAAATGGTGAACTTCTTCACAGACGGATCAACACTTGGCGGCAGAGTTGGTGTCGGTTTCTTCAATCGCATCGGAGTACTGCTTAATAGAACTGCCTGACAGATGACCTGGCAAGCAAAGGCACCCTTGGAACGTTAACACCAGTAAAGGAGCAACTAGGGACGACTCCCTCCTCCTGCGGTAAACTCTTGAACGGTTGGGCCTCGTGTAAGCTGGGATAACACTAGGACATGCCCCTTTTCTAGATATTTCTGGCCTCGGGTGGACCAGGGGATGAAGGGTTCTGATTGTGCTATTGGTATTCCCGCTGTAAGCCTATGAATTTCAGCTGATGCCATTTTTATCAGCTGTCTAGAGGAAGATGAGGTGGAATCATCTCAACACTTTCTATTAGAATGTCCAGCCTTCACGAGGCTAAGAAGGAAACATTTTGGCTCGCACTTCTTAACAACCCCTGAGCCGAGTTCGAAATGTCGTAATCGGCTGGTGGTGATTCGCCAACTAAGTTAATGGCCTCCCTTCAGTTGTTAGTGATATTTCAATAGACATTCTCATAATTGTTCAAGTGTGTAGTCTAGCCTAACCTAACCTTACTGCCCGTCATGTACTCTCTGTGGCGCTCAGTAGCGTCAGCGAAGCAACTATATTGAAGGGGTGGATACACACATTTTTACGTAAACTGCGTTCTAAGAAATTTTGGGGGGTATTTAAGACTGACTCTGAACGACTGGCACCCTCTCTGATCGGTTCTTGATGACATTGGTCGGTCCGTCTGAGGTTTGCTTCACTTTTGTTGAGCTGAGCAGTGTGACATAAATGACCCAGATTACAAAATGTTCGTCTAGCAATAATACCAGAATTGATGTTTGATTGAAATTGAAAATTATTGTTGGGCAGGACTGCCAACTATCCTTAGCTAAGAGGTGCCATATTGAGGATTAGAAAGTGCCAAATAAGGTATTTTTAATCCAAATAAGATTATTTATATCCTTCCCATTTAGAAATAAAATAAGAACCACGTTTCTAAACTAATAGTGCAATACCAAAATAACAAAAATCAGTTGCATAAACTTTAACAACTAGAATATCTTAGTGTGTACAGTGATTGTTGTATGTAATTTGGATATCGCCCAAGAGTTTATAAATATGCTTACTGACGAATTTAGTAGGAAGTCGTTAAGCTTGGAGCAAATGCTACTGAACATCAGTCGAACAGAAATTTGTGGCTCAGAATAATTTCAGAGGATGAGACCATCGAAAATGAAGATGAAATCGATTATCTTTCCATTGGAAAATAAGTTCAGATGGAGCTTAAAGATGAGGGTTAAAGAAATTTCTTCCGCTAATCCTGACCTAGATGCATATACATCTTTAGTAGATGAATCTTCCGATATTCAACATTCAGAGAACATAAAGCAAGACTCAGTTCCTTTCGGCAATAATTAATGGACAACTTCACCGGTGGATATCGTATCCGCATAGAGTCAAGAAAATGGACAATGAGGATGTTTTACCCGTTCCGGAACATGACTGTGATAAATGCTTGGGAAATATCAGAAGGATGTTATGAAGCTAGCTGATTTCAGAACTGAGCTTGTTGACACCTTATGCCGGTGAAACAGTTGATAGAAATCCTCCGAGTATGCAGCTACATTGGTTCTCTTTAATCTAAAGCTTTCTTGTGCATAGTTCATATAACCTCAGGGAAGATCTTAAAAGTTTGACCGTTAACCCTGCTTTGATAATCTACGTCTGCCAGACATATGCTTTTTAAGGGTTTCGCTCTCTTTCTTCGCGAAATGAATATTGAAATCGGTGGTATTACCATTTTAAATGAAGAAATTTGAAATAAATGTTCATAAAATTATTATTAGCATAAAATAAAGACAATCAAACCATGATACGTCTTACAGATGATGGAAAGGTAACCTTCCAGCAACTTTAAGTAGGGTTATCTTTCTAAGGTTAAGGAATTTGCCCACCCAGCATTATTTTTTTTTTGCAAACTTTGACATCTGCGAACAGTCTGTTTTTATTTCCCTTCCAGTGGCCTGCAACCTGAGAGTCCTACCTACATAGAAGTTCTGCTGTGTTGGGATCCCCATTTCGCTTCAGTTGTCCTCGTACCTTTCATGGTCTGAAATCCACCATAAGTTATCTTTGTTACTGGTTCCTAGTTTATCCAGTACAGTTGGGCAACTGTCTATTAGCCTGGACAATGCTTTGCATGAGACGAAGCCTTTTAATGCTGTCTGGATATTCGACATGATGCTTTCAGTGGCCCCATTGGTGCTTTTACAAAGACTTATTTGGGCACAGATTCCAATTGCGACAATTTTCACTTGGAAAAAGGTTTGGTATGTACCAATTGGTATACTTTTCTGAAACTGAACTCCAAGTACCCAACGTACCTTTTTGGAAATGAAACCACGATGTAGGGAGACAGAGGGGGCGCAATCAGCAGTACCGCTACTTTGTTCTTGGCGAATTTGACAGATTCAACTGTTCGTGCGACGTCATTTTAGCAAACTGTTTGTATGTATGCAGAGATGTTTATATGTATGTAAGTATGGCGACCTCCACGGTTTGACAGTTAACACTCTTTCTCTCCTCCATCTCCAATTATTCTTTCCTTTATCTACACTATTCGTTGCTATCTGGACGTCATCACACGCAGGAATGCGCAATCTTGTTGTTGTTGTTGTTGTAGCAGCATACAAATTCCCCAAAGACTTTTTGGGGAGTGTTGCTGGAGTGACAGTCCTTGGCCAGATATAAATCTGGGTCGTTCCGGTTACGTAGACCCGACTGTCGTGGGAACGCAATCTTGTATTCTATCATTCTTGAAATGAAACAACAAGTTATAGCTCAACCAGACGCCGACGTAAAATCGTAGACCGTTTCAGCTGACACGACCTATCTTATGGGATTCTCGTGTTAACGAAAACTAACCACCGCATGATGGTGACGTTTTCGCTGCTTCTCTCACTCTGTCAACAGCGATTTCATATGTTTATACGGTCGACAGGTACGGAAGGGCGCTCCGTCGGTTGCTGGTTGAGCTCTTTAGAGTACATAATCCTTAAGTATTAGATTGTCATTCTTAAAATATTTTGTCATGTTACTAATTTCTTTATTGGAAACCTTAAATTGTTAGGTATGTAGATAATTAGATAATGCGAAATTCTCGCATTGACTACCAGTGAATTGTGCATGATCGAGGAATAGTGTTCTGGCCCGTTGATTGGTCAAAACAACCTTTCTGACGCTTTGCTTCTCCACGTGAGGACAGAGAGCGCTTAACAGGCAAATCCGATTCACGTACTACTTTAAAGGAAACTTCATTTTTTATTACTTGACCTTTTCCAAGCGGTGAATGTGTAAGTACACGCGAGAGAGGTGACCGCTAAGAGGGCAAAGACATCCGCCTTCCTGTTCTAACACTCAAAAATTCAGCCAGAAAAATTAGAGAACTAACAGCAAACATTACAATAAGCATAAGAAATACAACAATCAAATGCTGCATGCCAGCCGAAGAATGCTCCGAATTATCCGCCAATCGCTTCACGAGTCCTGCTTGCACCGCGTCATCGAATGCTTTGCTCTCATAATGGCTAAACATGCCCGACGAATGCATGCGATAAATGAAGTACTCAAGGCTGCGCTCGATAATGCAGTCGCGCTGTAAGGGAAAAGCGAGAAAAAAGGAGCCGAAGCAAATGTTGCTGAATTTGAAGTAGCCTGGTTTGAGAAACTGTTGCTGCAAGTCGAGAAAATGCCACTTTTCCTCGGTCACAAAGTAGGCGTAGCTTGTATTGAAACTGTACTGGTGCTCTATAAAGGTTGCAATATCCACCGGATGGATTAAACGCAAGAAGCTCTCTGGCAGTTCAATGCCACCGGAATGCAGAAATTCCAATTCATAATCGATAATAAGCACTGTTATGTTCGCTTTTATGAGATCTTCCATGGTGTTGAATTGTGCACGAAATAAGTTGACCGTTAAAATGCTGCCCAGCAGCGAAGTGTAGTTAGCTGTGAGAAAGAAGCCATAGAAGAAAAACGTTGTGAAAATTAGAAAATCCAATACCGACGGCGCACTAAGTGTGCTGGTGGGCGCCGATATGCCAGTACTCAAACAGAAACTGCGTAAAATGCTATCACTTAAGCGTGCCGACAGCTGGTGTGTGCCCTGCAGGCAACACCACAGACACTGCACGAATAGTAGAGCGCCAAACACACAAAGGATGCCGAGCCAAGTTAGATCGTCGAATGGTTCCAACGGATAGAACATTGTCGTGACACTATTCCAAATGGGCACCATTAGGCACCAACGCACTACCGTTATGGGATAGCTCAAACCAATGCTATTGTCTTCGTAGAATAAAGAGTAAGCATGCCCCAAGATAGTGATTTGATCGCGACGCAATAAGTCCATGGCGGCTTTCATGTCAATCAGGTCACCACCCAGTCGATCTTTGGGCATTTCGTAGCTAACCAAAGTGGCATTGATGTAGTCTGTGAATAGTTGGAGTAGGCTGAAAATGCTGCCCTGCAAATTGGAGATACCGCTTTCACCTGGCGCATGAAATATACCCGGTAAATCCTGACGCAATGGCGTGTATAATTTATAGCCTAAAGTATTCATTCCACCTGCTATGAAACGTTCATAATCAGCTTCCACTTCAACGATATAATTTGAACGATTTTTAATCGTGAAT